AGTGTTGGCCTCACAAACTCGAAGCTCGCACTTTCATCTTTTACAGCAGCCATCTGCGTTGAAGACCCGGCTGATGTACCAGCACCAGCTGCCACTTGCGAGGACGACTGGCTAGTGGACCCTGCGACGGAAGACAGCTTACAATAGATGCCAGGCCGGGATTCAACCAAAAGTGTGCCTTCTGCAGTGGAGATGACATTACAATTCGATGAAATGGAGGCACTAGAAGCACTGCGTCCATAAGGCATCAGGGGAGAAGCAGATGGCAATCGAGCGATCGATGCGGGACACGGACGACTGAGAGGCAAACTCGGCGATTCCCGTTTGCTGGTGCTCGAACTGTATCGAGCAGCCGATGCCGCTGCATTGCTGATGGCAACCGAAATCGGTACAACGCGCGCACATGTTGACTTGCCATCATCAGCCGGCAATTTCCGTTGCTGCTGCGCCAAGCTGGTCCGCTTCAAAGGCATCTTTTCATGAGCAGCAGCAGCAGCAACTAAATTTGTCTTTTCCGTGGCTGCCTTTCGATGTGGTTTTGCTGATTGCGAATTCGAGGACGCAGAAGACTTGTTTGACACGCTACGCATCTCCTCAACTTTCTTAGTTTTACTGACCACCGTCTTCTGGGTGACGCCACTTGTCGCTGCTCCCTCGGAAACATACTGCGCAACTTTGCCGGGAATACTGCGTGGAGAGGTGCGAGTTTTACTGGCTGCCGAGCGTAAATTACATGAAAGTGCGGGAGTGTGCAGCTGGCGCTTAGAAGTGCTTAAACGTGATGTGGATTCTTTAGATCGTACCTCATCCATGGAACCCGGAACACCGTATCCGCTAAGATAAGTCAACGACAAATCCTCATCGTCGACATGTTGCTCATCATCATCATCCACTTCCATTGCGTCCTCTTGTGCTTTCATCCATTCGTTTTTCTTTGATGCAAACATTGCCTGCAAAAATTTTCCCATTACACAAGATGTGGCAGAACACTTTAAATTTTGATCACTTGAACGATAGAGTGGCTAAAAGGCTGAGAAGCAGACGATGCAGCAATAGTCAAAGCG